GAGATCTGTAGAGATGAGAAAAATGTTAATATATTTTGAGAGGCAGAAACAAAGGGCCCCTCTGCCACAGGTCAATACTCTACATGTGTCCAATCCCAGGAGTAATAGCATGTTATGACATTTTATTATTTTGACTTTGACTTGTATGTTCACAGCATATCCTCATGGAAGAACACAATCATATTGAGGATAGACCTGTCATATTCTTCTTTATATGTATTTTCAAGCTCTCCCAACAGAATAAAGTACGATATTAAGAAACCAGATTCAACATTGCATTGACTGCATTTAACTCATTCAAACATTAACCATTTGGCTTGAATGTCACCTGAAACTGTCAGGATCCCTGTCTGACCCATTGTGTGTTGACCTCTGTTTCCCCCCAATCTCCTCTCCTCATGTGTCTGTCATTCCCCTGTTTGTTTTGTTATGCCATGTGCTTGGTGTTGTTTTCTCGGGCCTGCCTCCAGACACCTCCCATTGCCACAGCCCTGATTGATGCACAGCTGCAGACAATCTGGCTCGTTACCACCGGCAGTATATCTACCCTGGTTTTGCAGGCCTGGGTCGCCATTCCGTATTGTCTTCTGCCTCGGTAGCCTCCGCCGCCATTCCGTAAGTTGAACCCCATTGTCTATTCTTGGACTAAGAACAGAGTACTACTTGGGGTAGAGTACTGGTCGATCTGTGTACTCTCTGGTGTCGAGCCACGGGACTCACACCGTCGATCTGCCTGCCCTCTGTTATTGGACCACGGGCTCCACACCTTCCTGACCTCTTACTCTGGCTAATTAAAAACTGTTATACCGGACTCTGTCTCCTGTGGTCTTGCTATTGGTTCCTACCCGTGAACTCCCGTGACAGAAACTGAACCACAATTATGTCTGCAGATATCAAACTATCCTGTTTTTTATGTGGGAGAAAGGAAATTGTTTCTACATAAAACTGCTCACAACAAGGTCTGTGGATTATTTTGAATATCCGGGTCATTCATTCTGGAACTGGACATTGCTGTTGGGTTTTTCAAATTTGTTTTTTGGCACTTTGAGCAAGCCGAGTGCAATAAAGTCCCATTAAATGGCACTACAGGTAAGAGGAAAAATATGTATTTCAGCTTTTCAGGTGAACTGTCCCTTTAAGAAGTAGAAATACAAGATGTAAAAATACTCAATTACAAGTAAAAGTTCTCCTTTGGAGTAATAATCTGACTTATACATTTGCAGAGGTCATAGTAAGCATAGACACTAACATGTTGGAGTAAGCGGGGCATTGAAAGCTATTTGTCAGACTATGGACGGCACTGTGTCGACATCAAACATCGCAGTGTTTTCACATTCTGATGTAGGCGTTATGATCGCAGGTCAAACGGATTTAAGGCTATGAAATGTAAGTGCTGCGCCATAACTTTGTATTTCATTGAACGCAGAGTGATAATGTGTCTTCGTCTCAAATTGACGGGATGACATGTCAACTTGTTTTACGCTTCACAAAGACCACAACAATGAATTATCTGTGCGTGCAAGGCCTGCTCTTCAATACAGCCATTTAAGCTTAGTCGCTGAGGCAACCGGCTGGCTCAGGCGACAGCGGCGATGATGGGGGCGATCACTGACAGTCTGACTTTAAGACAGGCCACAAGTTTCTCCACTCTGTGCTGAAACACTTACTCTTTTTTCCCCCCAGCAGCACAAAGGAAGCTGCATTATGCAATAGCTTGCAACAGTGAAGTGGCGGGTCCACACCACTGAAATGGACTGTGCCTTTTAAATACAGTTGGACATACTCTGACAGCAGTTATTATGTCATTACTCATTGAAAGCAAGTGGGAAATGTGCCTTTTTACAGCAATGTAAGGATGCAAATGATGGTGTCTTTGCTGATGTATATGTACACCTGTTGTGTTCATGCTCTGTCGTTAGAGACTCACGTCGATGTCATTTGACCATCTCGTTGATGGCAGGAATAAGTGGTGGTTATACAAGTCGCATCCTAGCTCTTCATTTTTAATCAAATTCTAATCTAGAGTGCTGTGTCTTTGGACTGTAGGAGACCAAAGCAGCAAAGGGAACCGTGCATGAACCAGGATAGAAGATGCAAACGTTTGGCCCCAGGAGCTGAACGTTCTCTTCAAACAATATTTTTTGTTGTTGTTGGGTGGGTTGCATAATTCTGCATTACAGGGTCACTTTTTGCACCTCTGCCATCCTGTTAAAGGGCAGGTAGACATTTCACATTACCCGGCAGAAAAGATCTCGAACTTTGCTTTTTCAATGACTCAAGGAGCCGCGTTGTTAAAACAACTAAAACTGTAAATTTGCCGTGGGGAGAGCGATTCGTCACCAGAGGAACTGATGTGAAAACCTTCTTCTGAAGAGAACTCATTTTCATTTCTTTAATGATCACACCTTTAAGAAATATTAAATGGCTCTTAATGCAGCTGTATGAGAAAAAATGTTGGGCAGACAAATATAAATCTGCTTTCCAGACAGACCTGATTATTGCTCTCCATTTTCACACCTTCCCAGTGTTCACTACCACAGTGTGACTCAAATTGCACCGAAACAAAATCCTTAGCGCTAACAACTCACCTCTAGATGGCTGTTAGGCTGGTTGTGACTTCTCAAGTCATGGGCCACAAAAAGAGTTGTTGTCCTGAAATAAATCCCAGAGAGACCTTTCGATTGAAGTCCATCCAGCAATCAAACACGATGTCACCTCGGACTTCAATGAATGATTTTGACACAATATGGACCGTTTGAGTCGGGCTTTACCATCTCCACCAACCTAATGAATCCGCTCCCCCAGTTTTCAGCATACTTCAACACACCATTACAATCCCAAATTTGGACTCCTTAGAATTCAATATACAGATTCATTTACATTTTCTTGCCGAGGTAGATCAATATTTTTTCACTTAATTTGTTCCTGACAGAGACGCTTGTCTTATTTTGACTCCGTGTGAGGTGATAATCACTGCCTTCAGAAATCCAAGTATGCCTTATGTTAGGACAGAATGTGTTCCTGTTAAGTTGTGTTGATAAATTATTTTAGATGGAATCAGTAATCTCTGATAGATCCAAACACACATTGTATTCTTTCTTTTGTATTTGCTCGACAAATTAAAAGCTGTTTGTCGGAGTATTATAGTTTAGCTGTGTTGTGCGTTGTTTGCTCTCTTATGGACTAACAATCTTTTCAGGATGTTTCATTGCTTGCGTTGCAAATAATTTTTTGTATATAATAAGATAATTTGTCTGTCTTCTGTGTGTGTGAACTACACAGAGTTTGCCTGTTGTGACATTACAACCTTCTGAGGCAGTTTCTGAATATGGTCTGTGTTTTTCTCTGTGGGTTGAGCGTTTCAATACTTTCACAGTATTTAATTAAATAGCACCGAGACCGGCTTTATAATCAAAAGAGATTTCTTTTTACAATAATGGACCTTTGGATAAGAATAACCCAGTGCCGTGTGGCTGATTGGCCCAGGCGAGAGGGCTGGCGGCCTGCTGAGTATTACATCCGTCAGCCTCTCTCTCCCAGCCAATTACTTTTGGTCCAGTCCAGTCTAACTTTACCTGAGCCCCGCCCCTTTCCCATCACCGTTCAGTGACATTTGGAGAAATAGCGGTGGAGCAAGATGGACAAACGAAAAGAGACAACAAAAAAAACGTGGTGCTGAAAAGCTGACAAGAGGTTGCAGTCCCTTGAGGCTGATGCAGCCAAATGTAATAACAAATTATTCATTTACCACCATTGCCAGTAAATCCCAGCAGCCCAGTGTGTATACTGGCAGCAGAAAGGAGAGGGAACTGAGAGCAGGGCCAAATTATCCCAGCGATACCAGTACACATTTTTGTTCCAGTTTTTCAGCTGAAGCTGAGACAACAGGGATACAATAAGGACTCAGGTTTGGCTATTTAGCTATATCAATACCAATGATTATTGATTCGTACTAATATTTACCGGATTTATTGCTATGGTGAAAATGTTCTTGTCTAAGTCTGTGTATGAGGAATTGAGTTTTATTATTTATAATTTTGTTTATTTGGAATTTGTACTTTCTTAATTCGTTCTGGGTTTCTGTTGTTGGGTTACTTGTGTTAATGATTTTGAGTCGGTTGATTTGTTGTTCCAGTTCAGCTTCTTGTTGTTTGTCTTTCTTTTTTTTTTTTTTAAACGGAGAATGAGATGATTATTCCTCTTAAAACTGCTTTCCATGTTTCCCACAGAAGGGTTGGTGATGACTCTGGGGAATCATTTATTTCTAAGAAGGTCGGTGACTCTTTTTTCATAAGACTGTCAAACTGAGGTACTTTGAGAAGAGCGGTATTGAAGCGCCATCTAGTGATTGGTTTATGTAGCATAATTCTGTTCCATATAAATGTTACGGGAGCATGGCCGCTAATAATGATAGGATGGATTTTCGAGAGTTTGAACTCTGACGTGATGTGTCAGAAACACCAGGATGCTGCATTTCCACACTGACATTGAAGTTTATTTGCACACCGGTTATGACAGATTTGTGCAGTTAAAAGAGTTCGGTGAATCTGACTTAGAAGTTTAGGATGACAAAATGAAAATGTTCCTCCATTATTCTCACTTTTTTCTTACTTGGCACAATTGCCTGGATGTCAGAGATAAATGGTCACTGCTATTCCTCGATGAGACCACTGGTGGTGGAATCCAGGGGCCCACAGTTGGAAAGGACCCACAAATAGATAGCCGAGAGAATTCCTAGCTACACCCCTGCTAATAGCCAAATATATCCAGAGATATTTTCTTTACCTTGAGATCTCAACCTTCCAACTTTACATGTTATGAATCACCAAACAACGCCCTGGTGCACATACACATGTCTTGATTTGCCTTCTTGTCTGTATTTCATCGACAGCCGTGAGTAAAGTAGGAGGGGGGGGGGGGGTCTTCAGCGCAGATCAAGCGCTGTGGACGAGCGGCGAGCGGGAGCGCGCGTATAGGAAGAAATAAAGGGAAGGAAGGAGCTGAGGCAGATCAGTCACCAGCGGAGACCAAGACGGTGGATGAACGGAGCCGAGCGTGTGTGTTTCCCTCGTCGTTTTTTACAGCAGCTGAAAGCCCGAAACCCTGCCCGAAAATGATGCTCAAACTCGTCCATCTCCTCGGGGTGCTCGTCTGCGGCGCTCAAGGTAGGGACCCGTGCGTGAAACCTCTTGAGCTTGGTGACTTTGTGGACAAGTTGAGTGCAAATTTGCCATCGTGAATCTGCAGCAGGCTGAGGGGGAGAGAGCTGGAGGGAGAGAGGGCTGGATTGTTTAACTGGACGTTGTTTTGTAGTTGAAGCACGTCTTGCATGGGCCAGAATGCTTTCTAACTGAAAAGGGGGATTATGATGGGGTCCTTTTTTTGGAGTGGGTGAGCTGTTGTGAGATACACTCTGCACTCCCCAGACAAAAACAGTTTTCTTCCTCATTTGACAGGGCTTACCCTCATTGTTTATTTATTTTAATCTTTAAGAGCGGCCGTTGGGGTGCAGCGTTGTTTTGGTGTGTGCGCGTCTTATTTGCAAAGCTTTAATCGTAACACTCCATGATGTAGCTCAACTTCACCCGGCATCAAATGTGGAGAATCTCAATAACATATGAGGGAACCTTTTTGTGTGGGGCACCACCTTTCTTGCTTTCTCCCACTCTCAGGTCCACTCTGTGTTGCTGTATACTGTATTATAATAACCGTGTATTCTCACGGTGAAACATCCGCCTCCACTGTCTGCATCTCGTGCGCAGGCTGTGCGCGAGAATACCGAGCCACTCAGTCTGAAATGCCTTGGAAAGTTTGGGAATATGAGCCGCATTAGTGACAGCAGAACTGCGGTCATGTGGTCCGTCATCCGCGGAAGCTCGGTCACGTCAGCCGGCACTTGAAATGTAATGCTCGTCTATTCGAGATGCTACGGTACGGGTGCTTGGATAGCCAAAAAAGCCCGGAAATAGACCTATATTTCATCAATAATTTGTCCAATTTGATATAACAAGTCAAAAACAACGTCATTTTGTACATTAAGTGAAATATAAC